TTATAATTATAACCCTTTATTGCTTACATTAAATTTAATGAAACTGTATATTAAATTTAAACCATAAAAATATAGCGGTAAGCCACATTGAAATAAAATTCTGGATAGAACAACTAGAGTTATAGTCTAACTAGTATAAAATGTTAAATATACCCCTACTATTTTTTTTTTGTTAGAAATATTAGAAAATCTGGTTAAATTTTCGGTCAATTTAACTAGATTTTATTATTTCTTTTTCTTGTAAAAATAACAAGAAATTTTTTAACTTTTTGTTTATTGCGTCTAACTTTTTTTGATTTTAAAGATTAATCTTTAGGATATTTTTTTATTTTAAAACAGAAAATTTCTGGTTCTTAACTATAGTTTTTTAGCTAACAAATATTCATATTAATTTTAGGGTCAGTTTCACCGACTCCGGTTAAAAGTTAATCAGCGATTAAATCCTTAACCGACCAATCATGAGCGGTTAAATTGGCTTTAATCGCTGATTAACTTTTAACCTGAGTTGGTAAAACTGGCCCTTAGAGAAAAAAATGATGATTTCTGTTATTTTTGATCATGATGTTTCTGACAACTTGAGACAATTTTGAGACGTTTTTTAAATATTGTATGTTTTAAAATATGATACCCGTTTTTGTAGTGAATATTAATTTTAATACAGATTTTTCTAACAGTGTATGAAACCCAAAAATGTAATAATTAGGATAAGTTTAAAATTTATTTATACATAAAATTATTTTTAGATATACATCATATAGAGGATAACTAATAGATTATTATTGATACACATATATGTATTTATAGAAGAATCGAAAATTTCAAGAGTTCGGAAAGGATATAAAGAAATATTTTTTTTTTCCGAAAGTTAAGAGGACCTTCTGATTTAGTAAAGGTCTCCTGATCGAAGCTATTATATTCGCATCCGGGTATTTGAGATTTCACCTTTCAATGCTGTGTTACATGTAAGCATTTTAGATCGTAGTTTTTGTTCACTATTATGTAGGCAAACATATATTTCTTCAAATGTCTATTGTCAAAATGGGGGTTGGTTTATAGACGCATTTTCTTTTTACAATATACACGAATCTATTGCTCTCTCTATAGCCTTTGGATTTACTTTTTAACACCGGATATTCCTATTGTTGGTGTTATATTTCTTAATAGGAAATTACACGGACTTTTGACCTGATGTTTGTAAAAATTATTATTTCACACCACAAAATCTTTTTAGTTTTCTCTCTAGAACTATTTTTTTTCGTCCCGTAAAATTTAATTTATATAAATTAATTTTTTAACGGAAAAAAATATTAGAAATTAAATTAATATTTTTTGCGTTGTAAAGTAAATATATTTAAAAAGGAAACATTTTTACAACTCAAAAAATTACACACCCTATAATATAAAAATAAAAAAAGTAAAGTATTATAAATATTAATATATGGAAGAAAGAGTTTCATTTTAATAATACCATATAAAGTTTATTGCTGAAATTTTTTTTTTTTTTTTTGCACATTTCTCAATGATTTGTTATAAAGTATAAAGGTAAAAATAGAAAGTCAAAATTTTCTTAAATTACTTTATGGTCAAAACAATAAATGCCAAATATGAAGATACGAGATTATATAGTAAAGTGGCAATTTACTTTACAGCACGCAGTTTTCCATTTCCAAAAATGACTGTATTTCCAAATTTACAATCGATAAGGCATATTTCTTCGGAGGGGGCTAGTTTTGTGAGTTTTCAAAGATTGCTAATCAAATCTTTAAATCCTAAGGCCCTTCTTAAAACCTTCGTCAAATATATGTCAAAAGTAATAAAAATAAAATGGCACGTACCGGAAGTTATAAAAGACTGCAAATATGGTGTGTTATAAAACTGCACATTTTTGACTTGAACGTGATTGTTCACAATATTTTTAAATGACGAGTCAAATTTTTCCAGTAATTGACCATTTTTATTCCCCCATTTAATATTTCTAAAGGACAGAAATTTTGTTTCTTGACTTCTTGACCAAAAATCCTCTGTCTTGGGGCACGCTGCAACTGTGATATTTATAATGGCTGTGGCATATTGTCAGCCTCGTTGACTTTTAGCCAAACAGCCATTGTAACTATAACTATACAACATTTGCTTTATTGAATATGAATTTGAAAAGTATTATTATTACGGTCAATAAGCGACGGTAAATTGTTCAGTATGGCTCCTTTCGTGTCATTTACATTCCTTGACATTTATATACATTCTTTATTAATTTAAAAAAATTTATTTTAAAATTTACAAAATATTTTATTTAGTCAATAAAAAATTATTGATACTTGAATAAAATTTATCAAAGTTTTTGTAAAGAATGAAATTTTTTTTTTTAGTTTAGAACAATTATTTTTGCTAAATTTTAATCAGTGAGATTTCACTGATCTTTTCAACTTTTTTTAGTTATTAAAAGTATAGTGTTAAAAAATTATTTAATCAATAAAATTTGTATTGTTTATAATTTTTTAACCCTTTCCGTGTCAGCGACTCAACGTTGGGTCGTGAACATCTTATCACAAAATATATGTAATTTGTTATATAAATTGCAAAATTATATTTTTTACATCATCTTTGGCACACTACAGATATCATTGACTCTAGTTTTTACAATAATTAAATAATTATTTATTAACTAATATAAAGTATAACAATTGAAAAACATGTGAAAATCACGAAAAAAAATTTATTTTTTGATTTAACCCACATTTAGAGTATAAGGGTTTTCGAGGTCGCTGAATTCGAATATGATGTTAGATTATCAAAATTCAAAATGGCGGATCCAATATAGCGGACGACATTTTTAAAATTCAATCCAAATGGCTTGAAATTTGTTACTCGGGGGTTTTTTGGGTCGCTAATTACGAATCTGAACTTAGTTTTTCAAAATTCAAAATGGCAGATCCAATATGGCGGACGACTTTTTTAAAAATTGAATTCAAATGACTTGAAACTTGTTAAACGGGGGGTTTTTGGATTTTAAATTTTGATATCAGATTTGAATTCAGCGACCCTAAAAACCCCCGAGTAACAAATTATAAGCAAAATCTGGTTGTTTTTTAATTTTTGTCTGCCATATTGGATCCGCCATTTTGAATTCATGAAAACTAACATCGGATTCGTAATCAGTGACCCCCAAAACCCCTGAGTAAAAAATTTCAAGCAAATCCGGTTGATTGTAAATTTTTGTGTCCGCTATCTTGGATCTGTCATTTAAAATTGTTTTTTTAATATTAGATTTGAATTTAGTGACCTCATAAATCCTTATCTACTAAGTTTCATAAAAATCTGTCGTCCAGAATTTTCTGGACATTTTGCGACCATGTAATGGATTTTTTCTCAAACACGGAAAGGGTTAACATCATACTTTTAAAAATTGAAAAAAATTTACGATCGTAGAAAATGTTTTACTGAATAAATTAAGCAATTATTCATAAAAATTGGATATTTTCATTAACTGAATTCACATTTAATATATAATCTCTATTTTATAAAAAAATCTGTATTTAACAAAACTTTTTAGTATAAAAATTTTTTTTTACATATTCGAATTAATTTTATTTCAATGTATTGGAAAATCTGCTTTATATAAAATTTCAATTAAATAGAAATTCTGTTAATATCAAAATTCAATTTAAATAGAAATATTTCGATATGAAAATTCAGCTTATATTATAAAATCAACACCGAAAAAAAATCCTCTTGTTTCAAGAGGATTCCTCTTATTTCAATGCATATTTTCTTCTAGTATATGCTGCAAAAGGATGTCCTCTAGGTTTAAGAGGATTGTCCTCTATGTAAAATTATTCCTCTTAATTTAAGAGGATACTCTTATTTTAAGAGGAAAATATCATCTTAAAAAGAACACTGAAATAATAAAAATGCAATCATCTAATTTGTATGTCATAGATATAATCTATAAAATTAAAAGGAATAAAATTTGTTATTCCATGATTTACATCTATTTGAGTATAAATAAATTGAAATTGATTTTAATTTTTTTGAATAAATCAACTAAATCTATTTTTAATAATATTTTTATGCGCAAAACATATAATTCATTAAATTTGAATATTTATTTTAAATAAATTTTTAAATAGCATAGCCTCAAAATTATGTAAATTTTCTTCAAAATTACTTTTAAAAATTTCTTTTACCTACAAAAATAGGCACGTATTATGTAAGTTGCAACTCTATCAAGATATTTAAAAGATTATTATACATTTTGGTTTATTCCTCTTTTTTCACACAGAAACTAAAACTTTTTCACTTATGATATGCGATTTATGACGCGACGTAAATGATATGACGCAATCATCTTTGCGCATGAGCGACTTTCTATGGGAAATCCTCTTAGAATTTAGAGGAATATTTTTAAACATAGAAGATTATTCTAAATTCTAAGAGTATTATTTTTATTCTAAAAAGATTATTCTGAATATAAGAGGAATACTCTAGAATAGTTCTTTTGTTTCGATCCTCTTGAAATTAGAGGAAAATATTCTCATTTAAATAAGAGTAATACTCTTATTTTAAGAATAAAATTCAAGAGGATTCTGTAAGAGGAATTTTCCTCTGAATACAAGAATATTTTTTTTTTCGGTGAATTTAAAAAAAAATTCTATTAAATAAAAATTAGACAATTACCACAAAAATTACGAAAGGGAAATATTTATGCGTCCATTAAATTGGAATAATTACAATTTCACTCAGAAATAAAAAATTCGCGATACACAAAAGTGCGTTTATTGCGCGTTGAGGAAATTTTGTACCCTCAAAAAAAAAAAAAAAAAAAAAAATATTTAGAGCTACTCACAATTGAAAAACTCTCTTCCATATCCCTTGAAGATGAAATTGAATGTCGAAAGCTTATACGAAAGAGTAATATATAAATTTAATTAATTACTCGTTATTTTGATAAGCGCATGAATTTTTAGCCTTTTGAGAATTTTTTTTTTTTGCTTTTTTTCCAGATTAAAAGAATGCTGAAGAAGTTTGACTAACACTTAAGAGGCGCATGCGTGAGATTGGTAAGTACAAAGTATATTTCCTTTTACATCCCCTATATATACATATATGTATATATGTAACGTGTATATTATGCGTTCAAAAAGAAAAAAAAAATCTTCTGCATGGATATGTAGGTACTTAACTATCGTCAGCACCTTTTTTCAATGCCAATTAACGCGACAGCTCTGGTTTAGTATATTTCAAAGCGCGGGCATTTGAGGCCACATATTTTCACGCTGTGCGTCACTTTGTCCCATGTAAAATGACGAATTATTACGGAGCGCGAGTCACACGATTTTCTGCGCATACTCGCGCACTTCCCTCTGAATATTAATAATACACAAGTTAACCGCAATGAGAGGCAAAGTGTAGTGAATGAGCGAGGAGGAGATGGAGGAAAAAGATCCCTTCATCACCCGCAACGTTGACTGTAATTGGCGTTGGTACCGGCTTTGAAGTCTACATTTTCCAGTTAGCTTTGTAACTGGGTGTCGAATAAACGACGCGATTAAATTACCATTTTTGATTTAGAGGAATTACTACTCTCAAACAAAGTTTTAAGGATTCGTGTTACTTAAACCAACAGGGAGTTATATTATATAAGTCATTTGTCAACTCTTTCGTTACGTGAGGTAAAAAATCTTACTTCAAAAAAAAAAAAAAAAAAAAAAAAATATTGTTTTAACCCTTTGAAGATCAGTGTTGCTTTTAGAAAATACGAACAATTTTTTAGTAACTCATGCATAATTTTCTTCTTTTATTTTTACAATTGAATATTGAAATAATGTTTTTCTTTTAATCTTTTAAAATTTCCAATTCTAAATTCTGGCTTTCAGGCAAAAAATTTTGATTGGTTAACTTATAATATAATAATTCTAATGGGCTTCAGTGAAATGGATTATAACTTTATATTGCATTAGGTTTATTTAAAATTTCTTATAAAAATTTAAACTATCAAATTTTTTGTTGTTAATTTACACTCAAATTAAAATATTAAGGATCAAGGTCAAAGTCAAGGCTGATGACTCGGCAACTTTTGTCCTCTAATTTTTTTTTTTTTTTTTTGACAAGATATTCTTCCTACACCTTCTTCTAATACGTGACACTTTCTATAATCCATGTGTCTAAAAAACTTAAAACATGACATGACTGATACATATCTTTCTACTTTAGTTACTTATATTTTCAAGGAAAATTTATCTGATGATATTCTATCTGTCAGAATAATCGATACAGTTGTAAAAAGGACAGAAAATTATTTTAATCAACTTGTTTATGTGACACCTATGTGCAAGAGAAAATAATTGTTGGTATAAATCAATTATAAAAACTTAATAATCTTTGATAAAAATAAACCAAATGTACATTACAATATTCTTGTAACATATACAACTAGTAATGTAAATTTTTATTTTTAACTCCTATTTCGATAAATTTTTAACCCCCCTTCGATTAATAAAATGCATTTTTGAAATAAAAAATTTTTTGACTAAAAAAGAAAAAGAAAAATAAATTTGACATTTTTTTTGGATTTAGATAAGACACGAATTTTTCTTTTTTTTTTTAAAGAGAGTTGAGGTTTTTTCCTGTAGGGATATATATAGATGAAAAAACGGGCTAGAATGTTTAATCCTTGAAAATTAACATTTTTTACTCACTTGTGTCATTAGTGGTATTTGGTGGTCCGCAGAGCTCTATAGTGAGTAAAAAATGTTAATTTTTAAGATTTAAACCTCGATTTAAACACTTAAGGCCCACTTTTTAATCTACATGTCCCTGTATGAAGAAAACCTCAGCTATCTCATTTTAAAAAAATTCTAGTCTCACCTCGAGTCTCACCAAAAAAAAGTCAAAAAAAAAATTTATTTCATTATTTAATCAAAAAAATTACCTCATAATGAGAGCGTTTAAAAAGAAATTTTTTTTTTTTCATCTTGTTCACTTTATATGAAATCCTCCATATATATATATATATATATATATAGGAAAGGCTTGAAAATTTATAGGTTGTATATCATTGCTGTCGTCGTAAAATCTTTTAATTTTTATGATGCATTTTCTAAACGCCATTTAACCCTAAAATTGACTTTACTAATAACTAGAAATAGTTTCTTAATTGAAAAATAATGAAAATTACTCTACACTGACAAATGTGTCTATTCATCACCATAAGAGATGAATCCTTTAACTTTAATGAAATTTTCCTCTTAATATTGTTCCAAAACGAATTTCTTTATTATCTCCAAAAAGAATCTTTATTTTCTCTCTTAATTTGAATTAGTTAAATTTTAATTATTTTTGAGATAAGGAGATTATTTCTTTTGAAATTTATAAATAATATTACATTTTTAACAGTTTTTTCTGTTTGCAAAAAATGTAAATAAACGAAATTTTTAACAATACCTTTTGTAAAAAAAGCTACATTGAAAAAAAAAATTATTTTATTAAAATAATTTGGTTACTTGACTATTATCAAATAAATATTTCCTTGCTTTAAATAATTTTTATTTTAGTCAATTAAATATGGTTATTGTTTAAAGTACAGAAATTATTGGTTCAAATACAATTTATTTAATTTAAATAAAATTTTTTTTGGTTCAAGTACACGGAAAAAATGAATTCAGTAGATTTTACAGAACTATCACGGAGTAGCGGATACAGCTCTTTACGAAACTGAGTGTTGTAAAATGTCACGAAATATTCAGGATAAACTCCAGAAATATTCAGCATAAACAACGAAAGTTCTGTAGTTTATCCGAAAATATCCATCACATTTTACAAAACTCAGTTTCGTAAAGAGCTGTATCCGCTACTCCGTCACAGTTTTGTAAAATATACTGAATTAATTTTTTCCGTGTATAAATATTTATTTGATTATAGTCTTAAGTAACCGATTATTTTAATCAAATAATTTTTTTTCAGTATATTTAACAATTAAAGGAAATTTTTAAACTAATGTATTAATAATTTTTTACATTAGGGATTTGAACAAAATAACCTCAAATAGGGTTTCAACTAGATTCAAAAGAGGGCACTGTAGTGGGATTACGAATAGCGCTAGTCGCTAAGTAGCACTTTTTACTATTTAGGGTTAAAAACTTACATATTTTTAGTGAAATTTGTTCTAAATGATGTCCAAAATAAAATAGAGTTGACGGTTTTTTAAAACCTTAAACTGCAAGATCGTAATTCCAAAGAGAATATAAACATAACCCCAGTAGATAAGACCTTTGACATAGAATTCATGTCAATTTCCTAAAAGATTTTATCTACGTAGCAAACCAATACGACATGAAGGTGGAAACAATTCTCTAACTTCATGTTTGCCAACTGTTATTTTACAATAAAATAATTTACAAAAAATTATTTGATTAAATATTATGATTATTCGAATAAATTTAACCTGAATCCATAATTTTTAACTTCATACTTGCCGCTTTAAAAAGTACTTATAATATAATTTCTATCTTTGAATTTTACCTGCAAAATAATTGTGCTAACTTAAATCTGTAACTAAAAATTTTTGTTAAGTGAATGTTGCTTCAAATCGCTACGTAGCGAAATCTTCGTAGCCCTGTTGCTATTCGTAATCCCACTCCAGGTCTAACTAGTTTTTCTAGTCGAAAAAATGTAAATAAACTAAGTTTTTAAAATTATTTTTGTAAAATAAATGCCAAAATTAATATAGTAACCAAAAAAACAACGAACACTGAGAAAAAAAATTTAGTGTTTGCAACAAAATTGTTAGATTAGGCAACTTTGGTTCTTGTAACCAAATTTTGGTTGGCTGAAACAAAGTCGTAGTTATCTCAACCAAACATTTGGTTAGGCCAACAAAATTATTTGGTTGAACATTTTTAAATGCCAACCAAAATTTAGTTACAACAAAATAATTTGGTTAACACAACAAAATAGTTTGGTTTAAAAAACCAAATGATCGTTTGTTGTCCTTACCAAAATTTGATTGCGACAACCAAATAATTTGATTCGCTCTCAGTATAGAATTTTTATTTAAACAAAGTTTTATTTAACAGAATTTCTGCTTAACTGAATTTTTGACACAATTTAAAAACAGAATTTTTAATATTTAACAAATGTATCATTTTTTAATATAATTTCACTGTGCTAGGTCAAAAAAAGAACAAACTATGCATATAGTGAATTAACCTAATTTCGGTACGCTAAATTCAATAGTGTTAGCTGTTTTTCAAAATCGGGTCAAATTTTTTAAATAATCGCAATTTTTTTTTTTTGCCCATTATCAATAATACAATATTTTTCCTAATCAAAAAGAATAAAGTTGACTTGAAACTCGTTACTCGGGGGTTTTTGGGGTCACTGATTACGAATTCGGTGTCAGTTTTTCAAAATTTAAAATGGCGGACTTTTTTTCAAAAATTGTCCGAATTCGCTTGAAATTCTCTACTCGGGAGTTTTCGGGGTCGCTGATTTTTTTAAATATCTTTCTGGAGATTCTGATAGGAAAAACGCACGTTGTTTAGGAATCCTTTTAAGTCAGTTTCAAGAATTTCAAATTTAATATGATAAATGAATTTCTTATAAATTTACGATACATCGAATTCACTTGAAACTCGTTACTTGCACTGAGGAAAAAAATTTAGTGTTTGCAACAAAATTGTTTAGTTAGTCAATTTTGGTTCTTGTAACCAAATTTTGGTTGGCTGAAACAAAATCATAGAGTTATTTCAACCAAACATTTGGTTAGGCCAACAAAATTATTTGGTTAACACAACAAAATAGTTTGGTCTAAAAAACCAAATGATCGTTTATTGTCCTAATAATTTGATTCGCTCTCAGCTCACAGCTTAAGAGAACAGTTAGTTTAAATCTCTCACAAGGATGGGTAGTCCAGTGGTCAAAGCTCCCGAACTTCAATTTTAAAACAGAGGTTCGATCCCAGGCGGAGATGAGATTTTTCAAAGTCCACAAATATTTCAATTGGATAAATATAAATTCAATGTTAAATTGATAATAAATAAAATAAATAATTAAATAAATA